CGACGCCCCTCTCACCGTGACGCGACCATTTCGTTCCTAACGCACCAAACCCCTCCTAGCGCCGTATGGCAGAACAATTTCCTTTTCTAATGCATTGCAGGCCGATAAGTCAGGTAATATAGTAGGGATGGCCCGCTTTTTACGTGCCCGAAATCAACGAGCAAACTTGGAACCGGGCAAGGTTAGACCGGAAATCACTAGTAATTTCCGACTTACCGGGGAAGCGAAAATCCTAACGGCTTCCTTGGAAGGTGAAAGAGGGAGCGATTAAACCAGAAAGTTCTTAGAACAATGAGAAAGAAAAGCAAGCACTCAAATAAAGCGAGGGAGAACTAACTGGTAAAGACAAAAGGGGGCTATTTATAGGAGGGGACTCCCGCCCAAGCTTTAGGATTACCGCCTAAAGAGGGTGTAGGTCACGGAGGTGACCCACAGCAACAATATCCTAGGTTTTAGATATTCTTATGCGATCTGGCATATGTCACTTACTCATTGTGGCTTTGAAAAGAGTTGAACCACGAAAGATTCTACGCATTCTACTTATTCTAATACTCTTCTTGATTCAGAATTTGTCTGATTTTCAATCGTTTCAGACGCGGAAGTTCAGAATTTTGGTGATCAGAAAGCAATTCATGATGAAGCGTGAGCTCGTTTATCCGGGAAATTGTTCTAAGGTCTTGCAGATCTCATAAATGTACATCATTTCAGCCACATGAAAGAGCATCTGAAAGATAAAATCGGAATCGATGCTCCTATGTCGGAAGAGCAGAAGCGGTTAGTATTCCTGTAATCCTAGTACTCGATATGCAAGTCTACCCACAGAAAATACTTCAGAAGATAGGGTATCCACTGAAGAAGAATTGGAGTTGATCTCTTTCACTGGGAAACAATTTTCGAGGAATTTCTTCTAAAACTGTCTCCCTACTGGGATGAAAATGCGAAGGATTAGGGTGGCTGGCGCCTAAGATGTCATTTGATAACTAATTTATTTACTCAGATTTAATTATTTCTGGATTAACGACCTCAATCATGATGGCCAACTGGATGGACTTGAGATATTGAAGTCCATGTTACACTCACATGATGGTCATTTGAGTTAGTTTTGCTTTTACATGCAAAGCCTCAAGCTAGCTGTTATATTGGAAAGTGCTGGTTATTTCAGCTGAAGTACTCAGTGACGAACAGGTCGAGAATTTGGTGGACTTATCGTTGAACTGGGTTGATCTCGATCGTGATGGACTTGTCAGCTTTGCTGAATATAAGAAGAG